CTAAAAAATTGTTTTCTTTTATGCCTAAATCTTTATTTTTTTTCACGTTTGTTTACCTCTTATCATCGCATGCACAAAAAAAACACTATTCTGAAGCGAAACAAAAAAAAAATTTGTAGTCCATCCTTTGAAATCATTTCAGATATTCATTTTTGGCCGACTGACCTTAAAATTTTTCTGAAGGCTCCTTTAGCGCCAAAATATGCAAATTTTTAGATCGCGGGTCGAAAAAACGCAGAACTTAAAAAAATAGGCTAAAAACGCCTTTTTGTCCTGTTTTTTTTCTCAAAAACTTGCTTGTCAAAATAGGTTGTTTATAGTGATTTGAGAGAGCTCAGAAAAAAATTTTGGTCGACCTAAAAAAAAATAAAATTTTTATTTGAAAATCCCCCTCGAGAAAATCCTAGATCCGCCCCTGCAGTTACCATTTAATAATTAAAATAGATTGGGATGCTCTATTTTTCCAATGATTGCTCCATAGTGAGTTGAGGTCAAATTCTTGACTTCAATAGAATTAGGTATACTCATGAAGTTTTTTTATAGGAACCCTCTAAAAAGACTAACAGAGCCTTTATTGGTTCTTTTGGAAAAATTTGGCAATTACACTTTTGTGATTCCTCGAGTTCTCGAAGCGGAGTGTTGTAGTTTCATCCTAGTGAATCTTAAACATTTCTCTAACAGGAACAATTTGGATCATAAATGAATTCCGGCGAAAATGGGAAAAAATAATAAAAAATCATTATACAAGGATATATACAGCACTCTCATATACTAAATCCGGAACTATCCAGTCAAAAAGTAGCAAAAGTCATCTAACCGGATATTGAGATTTGTGAGAAGTCAATATCACTTTACAGTAGCAAATTTATCATTTATTTTTTATTTCATAAACAGTTAGAAAAAACTCAGAAGGAGCCGAAAACAAGGATTCAAAACAAGGATTCAAGAGGGGCGACATAGAGAAGGCAGGAAAACGCTGGGAACGGACTAGGTAAATTCGATTGTCTTTAAAAACAGAGGTACGTTGATTTCATTGTAACCATATTTAATTCAACAATTCCATTTATTTTTCGATTTGCAGTTATTGTAGCGTGTCTTAAAAAACTTATAAGACACGTTTAGCTGAGTCAAAAAAATACTAGGCTCTTTTTTGAGGTTTAAATGTCTTATAGTATTAAGTCTGACAACAATAAAGCTCATTTAAGTCAAATTTGAAAACTGGGATAAAATGACCTGCTCTGAGCACATTCGGCTGCTTTTTATGATTTTAAACTCACGCATCTTTCATCATGCCCCTTCTACCCCCCTCCCCCAACCCCCGAAACCCACACGAGTGAAAAAAAAATCAATTTTATGGTGTTATCATCAGGATTGACCTACATGCTCTAAAAATGCTAGTTTGAAACTTACCTATGAAGTAATTCTGGTCGAAACATTACGAAACCAATTGTGTATTTTGTGAATTGTAAGCTGATTTCACAACAAAGACGCTCTTTCTTTTGTCTCTTTGTTTTTTTCCTTGTTCTTTCCTTTTCCTTGATCGTTCCGACAAACTTTTATTATGTTTAGAGAATTTTCTCTGGACTCCAATGACCTACACACACCAAATTGAGCGCTTATCCAGTGCGCAGTTTGGCTTCGTACCTAAACATTGAAAAAACGCACAACAAATTCCATGTAAAATAAGGTATTTGAAATGAATTGAAATAATTATATTTTTTTCTTTCAAAAAACATGATTTGCAGAAACTTTCCCAAAAAAAGCTGCTGCATTGTAACGATTTACTCACAATAGAAATTGTATATATGGAAATTGTATGACTTGTATTTTTTAATGGCGACAAGTAATTTTGAAATTTTGCCCCAAAAAATTTTTTTTTCAACCGCAAATCGAATTTTGTACGCAAAAAAAAACAATTTCCAAAAAATTTTTTTTGCATAAAAAATTTAATTTTTTGTGTGCATAACGTAGTCCTGGATACAATAATATTGGTTTTGTTTTTCTTTTCACTTAATTTTTTTTTTCAAAAACGCTGAGAATTCATATTTCTTTTGAATGGCGTGTTTATGTATGCCTTGATCAATGTCTGATAATTTGAAAATTCAAAAATAATCATCATTGAAAAATTTTGCCAAAAATTGAAAGTTTGTTACTTTTGTTATATCATTTGTGAAAGACATCTAAAAGACAATTCAGGTGGTTTATCATGCATTGAAAATGAAAGACTGTCCAACCTTAGGTGCTTTGAGTAACCAAGGTCTTAGTCACTTGTGTTCGGTTGCAAACACAACCCAAAAATTTTCAGAAAAAAAAATTTAGAATAAAAAAACAACTTTTTGCTTTATGGAGAAAACACCTATCATACAATTTGCATTTATGGGAAAATGTTTGTTATTAAGTTTTCATACAATTTTCTGTACGTATAGAAAAGTATAAAATTGTATGAAAAGAAATTTCCCATTTATGAGAATTGTATGATAAGCATTTTTGGTCAACCCGGGTAGTGAAAACCAGGACGGATCTTGTTGATCTTGACTATTTTTGTTTCGGATTTTGAAAAAAAGTGAGAAATATGTTTGCTTGGGGTGTTTTTTTATTCAAACAAAACTGTAGAATAGAATTTAGAGTGTGGATGGAACCTGCATTGCTCAGGATTCCAAGCAGGCAAGCTAAGCACTTTCATAAATGCACTTTATGTCACAAGTAGGTCGCTAAATGATCTAACTTCTCTTCTGAATTCCTAATACGGCTAAAAGGTTATTACATATTTTTTGATAGTGGCAATCCAAAATGTAAAAATCTTTTTCTTTCTAAAACTACCGAAGACCAAATAAAGGTCAGTCGGATTTTTCAGGACTCTGCTCTGGTAAATGAGCAATCTTCTTGACTCATAGCCCGGGTTGACCAATACTTCTTATCATGCACCTTCTATATATGAAAAACTTCTTACCATACAATTCCATACGTGCAGAAAACTGTATGAATTTTTTATGATAAGCATTTTTCCACACATGAATTTTGCATGACAATTATTTTTCCGAAAACCAAAAATTTGATTTCTTCTCTAAAAATTAAATTCTGGAAAGTTATGGGTTGTGTTTGTAGCCAAACGCAAGTGACAAAGACCTTGGTTTACTCAAAGCCCCAAAGCTTGGACAGTATTGCATTTACAATGCACAAACAAGACCTGAATTGCCTTAGAGCTGTCTTTCAGAAATGATATAATGAAAGTAAATAACTTTTAAATTTTAGCAAATTTTTTCAACGATGCTTTTTTTTGAAATTTGAATTTTTAAATTATCAGACATTGATCAAGGTATTTATAAACATGCCATACAAAAGAAAATTGGAACTTTCAGTATTTTGAAAAAATTGATTAAGAAAAAACGAAAAAAAAAATCCATTTTTTAGTGTATCCAGGATTACGTTATGGAAACAAAAAAAATAAGTTTTGCATGAAAAAAAGTTTTAGAAAAGGTTTGTTTGAGTAAAAAAATTCTACTTGCGGTTGAAAAATTAAGAAAAACTTTGGGATATCTCAAAATTACTTTGTGTCTCAATCAAAAAGAACCCTAGTCATACATTTTCCTTAATATGGGAATTGTATGACGAGCATTTTTTTTGAAAAAAAACCGGTTTTTTCATCACCAGACTGTTTTATTATAATCAAACAGCCGCAGAAATTAGTTTATATCTTTTTCAACTATTTTTTGAACTTGTACGAAAATGTTATGACAAGCATTTTCCCATACACTTGATGTGTGGAATTGTATGATAAACATTTTTGGTGTATGGAGGTCAACCCGGGTGACTGAGAGTTGTCCAGTTGACCACCGCTGAGCCTAGCAATTATTTGATAGACTGAAAAAGCAGCTCTTTGTAAAATAAATAATTGCTCTTCTAGCTCTGCAAACATGCTTCCAACTTTTTTATGGTTGTTCGCTTGTTTTACAGAGTTTTCAATAAACTTGGCAAACAGCTTAAGCTTTTTTTTGATTCCCGCACCTTGAAAGAACTACAAAAAAATTTTAAAAAAATTTCATCAAATGACAATTCCACAATCAAGAGAAACCTTGCTTACGTTTTTCAGCATGATCTGGATGGTTGAAAAAAATAGAGGGAGACTGGAAAAGAGCCAAGTTTAATATTAACTTCAATTACGTGTATCCAAAAAGGTTTGTCTTCTTTCACGCCCTAAGAAAACACATGTTACCTCTTTAAAATGATGCTTATGAGTTTTAAGAAAAGCTGTAATTTGATTTGATTGGTTTTCAGAGAAAAAATTGATAATGATTTGCTGTGATTGGCTTCTTTTCTTTTGACATTCCTTTAAATGAGTTTTGATTTTTTAACCAACAATTCTTTGCAGATTTTTTTTTTAAATAGAGAAAATTTTTCATACCTCTCCCTCAAAGCTAAATAAATTTTTTTATGCAATTGTTTCTTTTGTTGCTTACGATTTGATTCAAATATTTTGTATTGATAAAATTTGTACTTAAAATTGCGTGCTGGGAAAAAACTTAGGAAAAAGATAACGTTTTCATATATTGGAGTTTTAATTTTTGCAGCGCCACTGAAAGCTACTGCAAGGCCAATTCAACTGCTATCGGAACCCATACGAGAAGCCATGTTTTCATTCAGTTTATTTTTTTAAAAAATAGGCTAGTCCTATGGCGCTTTCTCGAGTGATGTTTTGTCGAAGAATTGTTTTATTTCTAAACTTGTTTGTGTGATGGCCTCACTTGGTAACAATGGCTCTTTTTCCTTTTCTCCCCGCCTGCAAATTTTTATTGGTAAATTTGTTGACCACATTGTCCGATTGTAATGAAAATTTACATAAAGACTAATAAGGCCACGACAAACATATTTGGTACTGATACTCAACCTCGTAAAATCACTCGTTACACTAATATATTGAAGCTAGTGTGAGGTGGGGGGGGGGAGGAAAAAGAGCCGAAACAATTTATTGTGATTATAATAATTACTAATAATTACACATTTCACTCTAAAATATCAACAAGGCCAGATTTGAATAATTTTTGTCGCATTTTAGGTTCAGCCGAGTGTGTGTGAGTGTGAGATTTTTCTTGCACATTATCAGTTTTATCTCTTCCATAATAATACAAGTACTTCAGACTGGATGCAAATTTTTTCTTCTTTTGTTGAGAGGGTGTTAAATCAGTCTGATAACAGAATCCAGCTATTGTCACTTTTCCACATAAATTTAAAGCCAGTTGAATTGCGAAGAAGCCAGTTGTTCCACGTGACTGCCACGTAGGTTTTGCTGCTTTTTTGAACACAAATTCCGAAATTTCTGGATTCATTATAAAAATTTTGTCGGGCCGAACTTTGATTTTATCCGCACTTTTCCGCCAGAATTTCAAGCTTTCGTTGAGCTTTCGGTTTATTTGTTTGGCCGTCCAAATAAAGTCATCGGTTTTGAAAGGTACGACTACGACCACACCGAAACCGAGGTAGAACTCGCGTTCTGTAGGAGCTGACTCTGGGTACAATATCCGGACATCGGTTCGGGAGCCGACTAATTTTTCATACCCCTTGAGCGGGGCTTCGTTTAACCGTATTACCACTTCAAACGAATCTATTTTTTTGCCCAATTTTTTATTTCGTAAGCAAGATCCTGCACCCACAACAATGCAGCTCTTACCTCTAATTTTTGCTAAAATTGGGCTCGTTTTTGGTTTGTGAAGGGTTTTAAGAGCGTAATTAACCCAGTATTTTTCAATTTTTACTTCGTTTTCGAGATATAAGCTATCAGTATTGACAGCATTTTGATGCTTGATTAGTTTCGAATAAGTTTTGTTTGACATTAGCGGATCGGTTTTGATGCAAAATTCAGAATACTGTGTGCGCCAAAAGAGTTGTTCCAAAACACTTTTTCCATCTTTGTAATAATTGCTTCCATTCATTGCGTTTAAAACCCGACTCCGCTCTTTTTCGATACTTCCAGTTGTAAATAGCATCTGATTTGAATTGAAAAAGCAGAAGAAACTTGAGACCAAAAGGAGTAAAATAAATAAAGATTTATAATAACTCCAGTTTCGAACAGGTGTCATAACTTAAAGTGAATTATAATTCAATCATTATCAAATATGAATAGAAAATGAATAGCAACCACAAACATGAAGGCTTTGATCAGCAGCGTGTTTTTTTTTCAGTTGGATGAGGGTTGAAAATTTGTCTCCAATTTTCATTTTTCAAGCCTTGCTAATTTCATAAGTTGAACTCTTTTCCAGTTTCCCAACCCCTCGTAAAATTATAAATTTAAGATGTTCAAAAATTGTTCACACGGCATTTTGCATGTAAGAAATGTCGCAAAAATTTGTTCACCTATTCACGCTGACATGTTTTTTTATCACCCGCACCGGAGTTCCATGGATAAATATGTAGTCTAAAATGTTGTCATTATAATCCATTGTTGTGGCAAATTTAAACAATGTATTCGATTATATTGTCATTATATTCGATTATTTTCGTAAAAACACAATCCATTAAAAACCATTATAATGGATTATAATCCAGTTGAAATCCATTATAATTGATTATAACGGATTATAATCTATGAAGTTTTGGGAAATAATTTGCAAAACTTGCAACATTTCTGCCGTACACGGCCTACTCGCAATCTAAACCTACTCGAGTTAACACCCCCCCCCCCTCCTCCACTTTGCCCCCCCCCCCATCAGTCCGCATTTGCTCAAACCCCCTACCCAGAAAACGGGTGGGGGGGCGTTAAACTTAGATGAGGGGGGGGGGGTTAATTGACGAGTGGTAAGCTGCGGGGCGGTAAACTGAAGGGGGGGGGGGGGGAGGGGGAGGGGGAGGGGGAGGGGAGAGGGGGGTGTAAATCATAAACTCCCCTCCCCCAAAGTCTACAAATAAATAACCCCCCATAAAGGGGGCGAATGCGAATGCGAATGCGAATGGCGGTTGTGGTAAACTGACAGGGAGGTTGGTGGGGGAAAACGGGGGGGGGGGGGGGGTGTAAACAGGAAGGAAGGGGGGGTAGGGAAACAGGGAAGGGGTAAACGGGGATATAAGACCAAACTATAAAGATTGAAAATGCAACATTTTATGAAGCCTAAAAACCTAATACGTAGCAACTGTACTAAACAGGAAATGCAATAACTTTGAAAAAAAACTTGGTTATTTCATGACTAACCTCTAAAAAAATCCATTACAATCGCTTATAATTGATTATAATGGATTTTTTGCCTCGAAAACAAGTTTCACTTTCTTTCAAATATAATCGAGTATAATCGATTGTAATCGATTATATCCGGAATTTATTGATTAGAAAAATAGCTTTATTATAATCAATTTTTAATCGATTATAATCGATTATTATCAAAATTTTTTGAGACAGACCACGAAAATTCAGTATAATTGATTATTATCCATGGAACTCCGGTGCGGGCAGTTTATAACATAAAAAGTAATTTTAAATAGATTTTCAAATATTGGATTTCAGAAAAAAATCAAGGGTTGACTAGAAAAGAGCCATAAGTTGGCCCGAAGTCGCACATTTTCAATCATTTTGATTATAGTGCACTCTAAAGAGCCAACGTGTCATCTTCAACTCTTTTTTGTTGATTTAGGAAACAATTAGGTGTTTAATGTGCACATCCCCTATCAAAACTTGTTCATAATAGCGCCAAAGGATCTGCAAAGTTATTGTACTTTAGAAAAAACTTTACAGTCCGAACTAAGGGGCGGTAGACCGACGATCTTACTCTCAACTGTCAGCACACTACTGTTCACAAATAATCTTACAAGCGATATATTCCAGTTTTTGTCCGTCATACTAAGGGTTTTGCACGTGCTCTCAATTTGCAAAAAAAAACTGTCAAGTTGATGCAATAAAACAGGATTCACACAAAAGAAAACGTCGTGGTTTGATTTGCATCTGGTTTTCAGTTAGAGAACAAAAACCTTTAATTAGCATAAAACGTTTCAATACTGCTCGACTTAGGACAAAATGCTGAACGTTCCGACTGCCTTTTGACTTCGATGAATCCATTTTTGATGTTTTCAGCATGTAATTAGATTTTTTTCTACAAGTATTTTTGTTCCTGTATTTTTGTTCTTGAAACCTGAAAAAAAAAATTGGAAAAAGGTCGGGTTTTTTTTTGTCAATTTTGGCTCCTCCCCCCACCATTAAGTTTTCTCTTCATATTGTCCGACTGATATAAGAACTGGCATGTGGCAAGCTTAACCTTGTAAAAACCCTCGTTACACCATAAAATTGATGCGAGGAGGGGGCAGCCTTTGGCTACCCAAGAAAAGCTCGTTCGGGGATAAGCTTGGCATGATTTTGAATCCCTTTTGGTCATGATTGGGATTCAAAAGAAATTTATCACTTTTGTTAAATTGAAATCGGAAGGGTTTGTATTAGGGTTTGTTTTCGTTTTTTTTCTTTTTGTTTTCCACGCAAAATCAAGTACCACAGATAATCATCGGATGGGGTTGAGTGATATGTAATGCTAAAACCCTTTCAATCGTAATTCGAACGACATTTAAAAATCTCAAAAAAGTTTTCACAGTGTCTCGGTTTGAACTTTTAGTCTACTTTCGAGCTAATGAGGTATCTGTTTGGCAATTTTAAGCTTAATTTAAGCAGTGAAAACTTAGTGTTACTCTTACTCAAGTAAAGTTAGTTTTTTGGAGTTCTTCAGCGCAATTTGGAAATCAAAAACTTGAAAATTTAAAATATATCTGCAAAAAAAAACACTTAAAAAAATTTTTGACTTTTTTACTAAATTTTTCAAAATTTTTTGTTCGTTTTTCTACTTTTTAAAAAAAATTCTTTTGCAATTGATCTGTTTTATTTTGACACCGAAATATGTTTCTTTTTTTATTTCAGTTCTTTTTATCACAGCATGTAGAAAAAAACGACAACAATTTGAAAATTATTTGTTGCATTTTTTTAAGACTGCGGTCGAGAAATTCTGTGCTACTTGCAGAGTAAACGTCTATCCTTGTTATACTTCGTATTTGATAGTGATTTTTTTTGCGGATAATTGAAATTGGGGAGGAGCTTTGTATTCGATGTGTTTTAGTTTTTTTTCCACGCAAAATTAGGTACCACAAATAATACCGGATTGAGTTGAATGATATATCATATTTAAGACTTTTCAGTTGTTATTTCACCGTAAATAAAAAATTCACCGTGTCGAGAAAAACCGGTTTAAAACTTTTGATTTTCGTATTAATTCGAGAGAATAAAGCAAGCGAGCAGGCTTACAACAGCCAAAATATGCCTGATGTTCGCGCTTAAATTAATCTTAAATTAATGACGTCATTATAGCGCGAAAGTGAAAAAGCTAAAATTAGATTTTCTTAGACAAAAGGCCTTGAAAACTACTGGTTTGTCCGATTTAGTCAGTTTGCCATCAAAATGTTTATAGATTTTTGAGATTGTTGAAAACCGTATTGCTAAAAATGTTAACCGAAAAATGTTTAGATATTACTTATTCTTTATATTATCTGTTGAAATGCCGATAATTTACAGATATTGAAGCAGGTTTTGTAGGTCTTACAGGATGCACGAGAGTGCGGCACATTTTGGTCCGCCGACCCGGACAGTATTTCCGGACAGTATTCTGGACAGTATTCCGGACGATATTCCAGAGGACAATATTTCGGACAGTATTCCGGACAGTATTCCGGACGATATTCCAGAAGACAATATTTCGGACAGTATTCTAGACGTTAGATATTCCGGACAGTACGACCCAATTGGCCGAAAATTGCCCAAACGCTCCAATTGGCCGAAAGTGTGCGATAAGCCGAAAGTTGCCCAAACGACCCAATTGGCCGAAAGTGTGCAGTAAGCCGAAAGTTGCCCAAACGCTCCAATTGGCCGAAAGTGTGCAATAAACCGAAAGTTGCCCAAACGACCCAATTGGCCGAAAGTGTACAATAAGCCGAAAATTGCCCAAGCGCTCCAATTGGCCGAAAGTGTGCAATAAACCTAAAATTGCCCAAACGCTCCAATTGACCGAAAGTGTGCAATAAGCCGAAAATTGCCCAAACGACCCAATTGGCCGAAAGTGTGCGATAAGCCGAAAGTTGCCCAAACGACCCAATTGGCCGAAAGTGTGCGATAAGCCGAAAGTTGCCCAAACGACCCGATTGGCCGAAACGACCCGATTGGCCGAAACGACCCATCTAGCCGAAACGTCCCAGTTAGAAGGGGAGGCCTTTTCAGCTATCCTGATTGTGGATTGTGGACATCCATTTTTTTTTTCAACACCCCAATTTTGGATTCTACCGGTGAACGCCTCTACAAAACTTGTAAGACTAAAAAACCAAAACTGTATCCATTTGTGCTAACTTGCTGATTTGATGCTTTAAACTCTGATACGAGGTTTTTTGATGGCAAAATCGTAACCCTCAATTTTTCTCGATACCAAAAACTGATCAGAAAATTTTCTGTGGTTTTAGGAAAAAACCGGCCTCATAAACCTTAATTACGTTATCCTAACACCGTGTTTGTAAGCTCAACACCGTGTCAAAAAAAAGGCCAAAAATTTTGAAAAAAAATTGAAAATTTTTGATTTTTTTTCCAAAATTTTCAAAGTTTTGCAAATTATTCTGCAAAGCGCCTAGTTTCATAATAAATTAACTTAAATGACCGAGTCGAGTTTTTTGCCCAAATTTCAGACTTTTTAACGAAAAAAAAACTCAAAATTTCGCAAGCGCACCAGGTTACTGTTGGAACTTGAACCGATGGGTGAAAACGTGGAAAAAAAATTTTCGAAAATTATTTTTGGAAAAAAAAAATTTAGGAAAATTTTCGGGAAAGAAAAAAAATATAAAATTTTCGAAAAAAAATTCTGAAAAAACGCCGTGTTTATTCTTGAAACGTGGTGCAGCTAGCTAAACTAGTTCAATTGGATAAAAGTAGCTGTAGTCGAGACCCGTAGCGTATTATCAAGCAAATCGTCCTACCTTTTGCTACAACCTTGTTAGCTCAGGGTGTTGCTGGAGGTCAGGTCGCGGTTTGCTTGATTTCCTTCCTCTTAAGTTAATTTAAATCACTAAATGTTCATACTAGCTGCTAGCTCGCTGCACCACGCTTTGAAAATACTCTCCCCCGCTTCGCAAAAGCGTGTATCTCAATCGTGCTTAGCCTTTCCCGGTTTAAGTTTCAATCATAACGCAGTGAACGTCCGTAAAACTTGTCAGTATCAACTTGATCACTATCTCTTAAACCAAAACGACATTGTTATTTGGCACGAAGCCTTTAATAGCTCTATTAGTCGACACCGAGTGATAACTTTAACGCACTAACTCCTAACCAGCTTAAGAAGATTCTTTTAAACTGTAAACGTAATATTTATGCAATCGCTTACTGTAAACGTGTAGGCACGGAAGATATATATAGTAAGTTGAAAGAGTCAGGCATATTAGTTATTAATATAGTAACAGACCTGATATCTAGAAGGAAACAGAACCTCACTGAGTTAGGGCAAAAGTACTTAGAACTACACCAGGATCCCTCTCTAGAACTGAAAACGCTTACGATCCTTAGGCATTATAGCAAGAATTTGAAGTATATTATTTCAAAGAAAAATACTCCTAAGCCAGGAAAACGCAAGCGGCAAGCTAACCGAAACAGAAGAAATGCTGAGCAGCAACTAGGAATTAAAATGAAGTGCTTCTCTAATGTGTGATATTGGTTACTGAGTCATAATATAATTTATTGATACTAAAGTTAAGGTATTAAATTAATTATTCCTTTTTTTCTCTCAAAATGAGCAGTTGAGCGGTTGAGTAGAAGTGAACAAGTTTCAAAGTAATCAAAATGACAGAACAAATTGAGTAAAAATATCGACGATTGATGAATGGTCGAACATCACTAGAAAATGAGCTTTCCGTAGTTCACAGTCGCATAACTGAGAATTTAGAGGGACCAATTCGGAAAACAAAAATAAACGCCTTAATTGAATCTTGCAAGAGTTCTCGAAAAAACATTAGCTAAAAATGATGAACTTGTGATATTAGCTAATAAAACCGATAACCCTAGCAAATTATTAACGGAGTTGGCTGCATTGTGGGATAGGATAGTTAAAGTTAACGATGAAGTAACTGGTAAGGCTCGCGCTCATATGGGATCTAATCAAGCTTCGGAAGTCTGCGTCAGTGAAACTAGTCGATCAAAAGTTTCATCAAAATCGGCAAAATCCGGGTCGAGTAAGCAAAGCTCAATGAAATCATTGACCCCCAGTGAGCGCCGCAAAGAGCTGCTCCTAGCAAAAATGAAGCGAGAATAGTTGGAAAAACAACATGAAGCAACCTTAAGACTGAAACAACAGGAAGCCATCATCGAAGAGCAACAGCATCTGATTGAGATGGAACGAAAAAAAAAGAAATTAAATTTGAAATTGACCGTAAAGAGCAAGAATATCGTTTACGAATCGAAAAAAGTCGGCTTGAAATGGAACGATTAAGCGAAGAAAATCGTATTAAAGTAGCTGAAGCAAAAATGGTTGAAACTGAATACCTCGAAGAGTCTGAAATAGATCAGCATCTCGAGCTGGCGTCTTCGGTTGATCGTCGTTCTGACAGGGTAAACGATTGGGTTGATCATGCATTAGAAAACCAAAAAGGGCCCGAGGTAGTTCCGTCTTCTTCAAAGTTTGAAACCTGTATAAATACAGAAAGCGGTTCGCTTAAAAACGGAAATCTGTCCACAGCGGGAGCTTCACCTCGGCGATCGTTGCCGAATCAGACTTTTAGTTGTGATCAACAATGTTATCCCTATCAACCAACCGTCTCCTTCAGCGATGGCGATGGAATCAAGCACGCTGTATC